GCTACCTGACCGGACACAGGGACAGGAGGAGGCGAGGTGGTCAGGGTGTAGAGGCTCGACCCCGGCCGACGCGAGAACGTGGCCAGGTGCCGGCCTGTGCGTGCGTCCGTGCAGTGGGTCACCCGCTGACTCGCAGGAGTGAACTGGTGAACCCCCGCATCCTGTAGGGCCGCACCACTCACCAAGTTCGTCGAGAACGAGGGAAGGTACAGACCAGACAGGGCGCCCGAAGGGGCAGCCGGACACGGGAGGACAGTGGAGAAGTGAGACATGACAGGACCCCCAGAGGGGTCCGCCAGGGAGACCGCAACCGGCCGGCCAAGAGGCGTAAGGGTAGTGCGGTCTTGAAAGAAGGAGCGAGAAGCTCCGGAGTCAAGTGTGAAAGTGAGGGAGGACGAGGGCGACTCAGTACCTGAAAGCGCAGTCTCACCAGTACCTGAGAGCGCAGACGCACTGGCACCTAGAGCAGCAGCCTCACAAGCACCTAGCGCAGCAGTACCAATGCCCGGATCGGGCTGGAAACACCGGTAACCCTCATTCTCATCACTAATAGTCACAGCATACATAGCAGCAAGGATAGCATCAAAATCAAGATCAAAGATCGCAACACCAGCCCTAAGGAGCTCATCCCAGCGAGGGATCTCACTGGCCCCGGGGAACTGCTGACGCCAGGCGTCCGTCAGGCGGCCAAAGCAGCGCGAGGTGGCGTGGGCACCCCCACACTGCTCACCCGCGCGGTCGCCGGAACGAAGAACGTAGGTGCAGGGACCAGTACCCCCACCCCTCTGGCGCCCAGCGTACCACTCACGAAGCTGCTGGGGCGGAGGGATGTCACGCGAGCGCTGCTGCTGCTGCCGCTGCGAGCGCTGGCCACCACCGCCGCCACTACGCTGCTGGGTGCCACCCCGGCCGGCTCCGCCCCCTCCACCACCTCCTGCTCCTCCGCCGCCGCCTCCACCGCCTCCACCGCCTCCACCGCCTCCACCTCCCCCGCCCCCACCTCCGCCGCTGCCACCTCCACCACCGCCGCCACCACCACCACCGTCTCCGCCGCTGCTGCCACCACCACCACCACCACCACCACTATTCCCGCCGCCACCCCCACTCCCACCGCTGCCACCTCCGCCACCTCCACCGCTCCCTCCAGCTCCACTCGCGCCCCTGCTTCCCCTGTTCCTGCTGGAGCGACGTCTCCCACTAGGGGCAGAGGCCGCGCCGACCGACTCAAGACCAAGCAGGTCGGCAGCGGCAGCCGAGGCAACAGAGGGCAGCAAGGGTGAAGGAGAGCACCCCTCAAAGATGGGGGTGCGAGGGTCACCACGAGAAGCCCCTACAGCAACTATGCTCTTCTCAGCTGAGAGGAGGGCCTTCTCGAGGAGGTCGACGGTGAGAGTGGTGGGACAGACAGCTAGGAACTGGTCCCTGACTGCACGAAGGGAGTCAGGGAGGCGCGCGACTACGTAGTAGAGAGTGATGTACATGGGGGGGGGTCTCTTAGCGCAGAACTCAGCAGGAAGGGCGGCGCGGTAGCGAGTGTCACTAGTGCGGAGGTGCGTAATGAGGTCAGCGACAGTGGGAAAGGCAGAGAGGTCAGGAAAGAGGTAGGGAAGCATGAGACGAGTCAGTGCAGCAGTGGCAGGAGAGGAGTAGCGCGCAACTACAGCGTCGTACAAGGTCTGAGCACTCTTGTACTGACTAAAGTGCGCGCGCTCAGAGGTAGGGAGGTGGCGACGCACAGCAAGACGTGCAGCAGCATCGCGGGTGGCCCACTGAGAGCGGACAGTGGGATCAGCATCAGCAGTAGGAGCAGGAGAGGCGCCAGAGGTGAGGTCAAAGAGAGAAAGGCCGTCAGCTCTGTCGCACTGTAAGAACAGTTGCAGGTCATCTAGCCAGACCTCGAAATCAATGGCACGACCCTCAGCGTCAAAGGCTAGGACACTAGGGGTGGCCATGGCGACGACAGCGAAGCAGTGCAAGCAGTAGGGGAAGAGCAAGCAGTGACAGTGGGACTGTGCTCACCGGGCGGGGCAGATCGTGTAGCTCGACAGACAGGCAGCACGGCGACCGGGCGGCTCGGGTGCACAGCGGCTCAGCTCCCGGGCGGCTCGGCAGCAGGGCGGCTCGGGTGCAGGGCGGCTCGGCTCCCGGGCGGCTCGGCGACAGGGCGGCTCGGGTGCAGGGCGGCTCGGCTCCCGGGCGGCTCGGCGGCTGAAGGGCGGCTCGGCTGCTGCAGGGCGGCTCGGCTGCTGTGTCGTGGCGGGGCCGGGACAGGAGACGGCAGGGCCGTCAGGGTGCAGCGGCGGGGCCGGGACAGAGGACGGCGGGGCCGTCAGGGTGCAGCAGCGGGGCCGGGACAGAGGACGGCGGGGCCGTCAAGTGGGACGGCGGGGCCGTCAGGTTGCAGCGGCGGGGCCGTCAATGTGCAGCGGCGGGGCCGTCAGAGGTGTAGCGGCGGGGCCGGGAAAGAGACGGGCGGAGCCGTCAGGGTGCAGCGGCGGGGCCGAGACTGGGACGGGCGGGGCCGGGACAGGAAGCGGCGGGGCCGTCAAGGTGCAGCGGCGGGGCCGTCTGAGGTGCAGCGGCGGGGCCGGGACAGGGACGGGCGGAGCTGGGACAGGAAGCGGCGGGGCCGTCAAGGCGCAGCGGCGGGGCCGTCTGAGGTGCAGCGGCGGGGCCGGGTCAGGGACGGGCGGGGCCGTTGGGGTGTAGCGGCGGGGCCGTGACAGGGACGGGCGGGGCCGTGGGGTGTAGCGGCGGGGCCGTCTGAGTTGTAGCGGCGGGGCCGGCCGGGCCGGGCCGTCAAAAACCGAACGGCGGGGCCGTCAAAAGCAGGGCCCGCGGCCGCGACGAAGCGGCCGCGTGGCCGGTTCGAGGGCGGCGGGGCGCAGCCGGGCCGAAAGGGCGGCGCGGCGCAGCCGTAGAGCCCGCGCGACGTGGGCCCGAGCCGCGCGCGCTAAAAAAAAAAAATTTGCGCGCGCGACTCGCAGGGGCCCACACGGGCAGAGCGAACCGCACTAAGGGGGGGGGGAGGGGGGGGAGCGCGCCTCGGGGAGAGTAGGGCGCTCCGGGCAGAGCGAAATTCGTGGGTGGGCCCAAAAAAATCGGTCCTTAGGAGGGACCCGCTCTATACCATGTGAAAATATGAAACAGGAATGAGAATGACTAAGTCTGAAAGAAGTACAAATAGCAAACCCTAAGTGGGTTGTACCCCCTATGGGATACCCCGCTGTAGCCTACACAAACAGGTAAGCTATATGTTCTGACAGGCAGGAGCAACCGACCTGAACGTCACAATCATTGTAGCCGCGTGGAAGAACTTTCGCGTCCATGTGAAAAAGAGCCACAATGCAGCAGCCGTTGAGAAGCTTGTGCTGGAAAGTTTCGCGGGAGCGGGCAATAAGAGTATCGGACTGCTCGTCTACAAGATTGTCGATGTGGTGATGACATGGTGTTACGATTCGGAGGCAGCTGCAAATATGAAGGGAGATGGGATGTTCTTGGAGTGTGGCGAGGATCGCACCAAAGCCTTGAAACGCGAGATTTCGCGTCCTCGCATCAAGAAAACTTTTGCGAAGGATGACGACATTGAGGAGATTTCTGATGAGGAGGCGTAACTTTGTGGTTGGAGTCAATGTTTCGCGTTAGTAGCTGGACAATAGGTTTTGTCTATCTTGTTGTGCTTTTAACATGTTGCGTGGTGTGGGTTGTAGATCTTCGAGGTTCACTGCTTTGCGCATATACGTTTCTGCTTTGTGCTAATAACATGCTGCGTGGTGTGTGTGTCGTAGACCCTTTTTTAACGAGGAACAAACACGTGGAATATGAGACCCCTTTAGGGCGTACTGAAGTAAGAAATGAGGAACCGAATTCGAATCCACGTATGGGTCTCACACTAGAATAAGCGGGGGGTCTGATTGGGTGTGCTGTGCGAAATGTTCCGTTGAGTGCGACATGTTTCCTAGAACATTGATTGTTCCTTTGTCTCATAGTTGGATAGCTGACATTCTTAGGATAAGTACAAGAACGTAAGTACAGGCTGGCAAATTATTACAGGAAAAGAAACCAGACAACAGAAAATGGTACAGAGCAGAAGGAAACTCGAAATTGCCCTATCGCCCCTTGCATCACTCGTTGCCTGCCGCATTCGCCTTCCATCGTCCCCCTTTCGTGGGTTGGGGAAAATGGAGCATCCCACTCTGATACGCGTAAAGGCTTTGTGCTACAAGACAGCACTCGCACCAGTACACAAGCACCCTCGAAACCACTTTCGCCATTTCAATAGCCTCTGTCTCCCCAGGCTCAGGATCCACGAGGTTGAGAATAGCCTTGGTGAGCACCACTTCCCAGTCTGCCTTTTCGTGCGTTTGGTTCTTGACCGATTTTAAAACCCACACTCCGAGCCGAGCAGTTGAGGTTGCTCGAAATGCAAGGCTTCCCTCGTTAAGCGTGCCACGAGCCGCCTTATCCGCACCCTCCGCCCATTCTTGGTGGGGAATGCCGATTGAGGCACACCACAGGGTATAGAGGGTTGCAGCCACTCCCGCTGCATAGACCGCGGAACTGACACTTAAAGGGGCTGGCACCAGCCCCACCCCTCCGTGTCATATATACTGAAACATCTTGCTCCTCCTCCAGGTCCACTACTTGCAGAGGTTCTTCCGGAACCATGCTAATCACATTTAGAGTCCCGACACACACTACACCTTCCGCATCTTCTCTCTGCCTTTGCTCCGCCGGCGCCTCCACGTTCTCCCCCGCAATTCGTCGCCTTTCCTTTTCCATTTTCTCCGTCTCTGCATCTAACTCCTTTTGTTGCATCTCATCTTCCTCCTTTGCGGCTGCCTCCAGCCGTGCAATACGCTCCATCTCCTTCTGCGCTTTCTGACGCTCTATTTTGAGGTTTTTTTTTCGTTTTTTGGCCTCCAACCGCTTCGCTTCAGCGAGCTTTGCTATCCGCTCACGCTTTGCCTCTAACTCTGCCTCCAATTGTGCCCGCATCTTCACTGCCTTTGCTCCTCCCTCTTTTGCTTCTCCCCGCGTTCGCGCTCGACCTGCCTTTCCTCCCGCTTCCGCTCATCCTCTTCCTTCTGCTTCCTCTCTTGATTTTCGCGGTGCAATCTTTCCTCCTCCCTCTTTTGCTCTTCCTCTTGCCTCTGGCGCTTCTCTTCTTTTTCGCGCTCGACCGCTTGCTCCTCGTCCCTCTTCCTCTTTTCCTCCTCCATCTGCCGCTTCTCCTCCTTTTTGCGCTCTGCCTTTTCCTCCTCCCTCTTTCGCTGTCCCTCCTCCTTCCGCTGCTTCTCCTCCCTTTCGCGTTGCACCCGCCTCTCCTCTAGCCTTCTACCCTCATCCTCACCCCTCTGCCGCTTCTTACCCGATTCGCGCTGGTTCCCCAAACGCTGTGCTTCCACCATAGCATTTCCCACCATCCTTGCCCTGTGAAATGCGGTCTGCTTCCGCGTTTTGGCCGCCATTTTCTCCAGCCTCTCCTTCTCCTTCTCTTTCTGCAACTCCTTCGCCGCAAACGTCTCTCTCCAGTCTCTTCTCACCGGCCCAGACAAGTCAACACCTGCCACACCAGCGCCCACCTCACCCGCCTCACCCCCCTTGTCCTCGGGAGTCGCGACAAACCTTTCCATGACTTTTTGTGCAGCGGCGATAGGGATGTCCGGTGAGTCGGCTTCGGCCTGCGGTCGCGAAGAGTTTGGCGTGGCATCTGGTCTAGCGGCGTGTGGATTGACGTTGATGGGTCCAGTCCGCCAATCGAGCTTTGTTCCGGCTGGTCTGGCGGCGAGAGGATTTCAGAAGTTGATGGCTCCAGTCCGCTTTTTGATCTTTGTGGCATCTGGTCTGGCTGCGATAGGATTTCCGACGTTGATGGGTCCAGTCCGCCCGTTGAGCTTGGTGGCATCAGGTACCACAGTGAGAGGATTTCCGACGATGATGGCTCCAGTCCGCCCTTTGAGCTTTGTGACATCTGGTCTCGCGGCGTGTGGATTTCCGACGTTGATGGGTCCAGTCCGCCCACGGAGCCTTGCTGCCAATCTTGCAAGAGCCTTTTGAATAGCTTTGAAACTCCGCGAGTTTTGGTCTTCCGCAACTCTGAGATCCTCCCACACCGTGTAAACGCTATTCTGAATAGTATTTACCAGGAATTCTGTGGAGACGGGTGCGATCGAGGCCTCGAGCTTCCCCCCTTTTGACGCTTGCTCTACCGCCTGCCCAACAACACCCTTCAGCCTTTCCAGAAACGCCTCGGAAAACCCCTCGAGCTTTTCCTGCAATGCTTCTACAACCGCCGTTGCAGCTGCTCGACCAGCATCAACTACTGCCGCTCGTGCCTCGGCCGTATCCTGCAATGCTTCTACAACCGCTGTTGCAGCTGCTCGACCACCATCAGCTGCTGCCGCTCGTGCCTTGGCCATAGACGTCGACAGAGCAGAACGGATTTCGCGAAGCTCCTGGCGCTCTTGGACAACAGAATCCCTTAGCACGAAGTACTCGTGTGTCAAATCATCGTAGTCTTGCAAGTATCGCAATTCCCATCCTTGCATCCGCGCACCAAACTGGTGAATCTCAGCCATGCAGTCGTTGAAGCAAACACCTTATTCTGACGAAATCCTGGCCACTGACCTCGCCACCAATGTCAGACGCCGCATTAACTCCCGTCTGGTATGCATCCTGCCGCTAGCTACGATACGGTCTCCGGCCTCCTCAAATCCACCTGCTGTCTCCTCAAAAACCTGGGGCCCAACTTTCTCCTGTTCCTGTAGTTGCGTCTCCAAGGCCACCCATTCACCCTCCTCCAGTTCCTCACCCTGCCCCGCAGCAGGATTCTCTGCCGCACGTGGACGACTCCTCTGAATAGGAAGCGCACTAGCCGCACTCTCCTGCTCCTCTTCCACCCGTCCACCCACATGTCTCAGCTGATTCTCCCTTTAGTGCACTTCCTCTACTCCAAATCCCACCCCACGCCAGACATGCTCCTCCGCAACTCTTGTCAAATTATAATGTTGTCTAGGCTTTAGTGGGGTAGCCCATATGGGGTACACATTTCTAGGGTTGCATATTTGTATCACTCTCATTCCATAGCCATCCTCATTCTCGTTCTAAGTTTCTCATGGTATCAAGCAGGTTCCCTCAAGGGAACTGTGCCTAGGGCCCACCACATCGAACCTTTCTTTTTTTCCTGCCCGGAACGCGCTCCCCGAGTCGCGCTCCCCTCTCTGCATTCGTCGAGCCGCCCTAGCGGCCTCCCTTGCGGCCCCGCCGCCCTCACTTGCGGCCCCGCCGCCCTCAGTTGCGGCCCCACCACCCTCACTTGCGACCCGTCGCCGCCCTCGGTTGCGGCCCCGTCGCCGCCCTCATCTACGGCCCCGTCGCCGCCCTCACCTGCGGCCCATCGCGGCCCTCAATTGCGGCCCCGCCGCCCTCACTTGCAGCCCTGCCGCCCTCTGTTGCGGCCCCGCCGCCCTCACCTGCGGCCCCGCCGCCGCCCTCAGCTGCGGCCCCGTCGCCGCTCTCACCTGCGGCCCGTCGCCGCCCTCAGCTGCGGCCCCGTCGCCGCCCTCACCTGCGGCTCGTCGCCGCTCTCCCTTGCGGACCCGCCGCCCTCTGTTGCGGCCCCGCCGCCCTCACCTGCGGCCTCGCCGCCGCCCTCAGCTGCGGCCCCGTCGTCGCTCTCACCTGCGGCCCGTCGCCGCCCTCTACTGCGGCCCCGCCGCCGCCCTCACCTGCGGCCCCGCCGCCCTCAGTTGCGGCCCCGCCGCCCTCACCTGCGGCCCCGCCGCCTTCTGTTGCGGCCCTACGACACCCTCACCTGCGGCCCGCCGCTCTCACTTGCGGCCCCGCCGCCTTCAGTTGCGGCCCCGCCGCCTTCAACTACTGCAGCGCCGCCCGCCGCCCGAGCCGCCCCTGCCAGCCGAGCCGCCGACCGCCGCGCCGCCCTGCAGCAGCACAACCGAGCCACCCAGCAGCAGAGCAGCCAAGCCGCCGAGCCGCCGGGTCGCCCTGCAGCCGAGCCGCCCAGCCGCCGTGCAGCCGAGCCGCCGAGCTGCCGAGCCGCCCTACCGCTGAGCCGCCCGAGCAGCCCTGTCCGGTGAGCACAGCCCCTCTGTCACTGCACTGCCCTCCCCCCCTACTGCTTGCACTGCTGGTCTACTGTTGTCATGGCTACCCCTAGTGTCCTCGCTTTTGACGCTGAGGGTCGAGCCATTGACTTTGAGGTCTGGGTCGACGACCTGCAGCTGTTCTTGCAGTGCGATAGGGCAGACGGTCTCTCTCTTTGACCTCACCTCTAGCGCCTCTCCTGCCCCTGCTGCTGATGCTGACCCCACTGTTCGCTCCCAGTGGGCCACGCGCGATGCTGCTGCACGTCTTGCTGTGCGTCGCCACCTGCCTACCACTGAGCCCGCGCACTTTAGTCAATACAAGAGTGCTCAGACCTTGTACAACGCTGTAGTTGCGCGCTACTCTTCCCTTGCCACTGCTGCACTGAGCCGCCTCATGCTACCGTACCTCTTCCCTGACCTTGCTGCCTTTCCCACAGTCGCTGACCTCATAACGCACCTTCGCACTAGTGACACTCGCTACCGCGCCGCACTTCCTGCTGAGTTTTGCGCCAAGAACCCCCCCCCCCCCATGTACATCACTCTCTATTATATAGTCACCCGCCTCCCTGACTCCCTTCGCTTAGTCAGGGACCACTTCCTCTCAGTCTGTCCCACCACTCTCACTGTTGACCTCCTCGAGAAGGCCCTCCTAGCAGCGGAAAAGAGCATAGTCGCTGTAGGAGCCTCTCGTGGTGACCCTCGCACCCCCATCTTTGAGGGGTGTTCCCCTTCCCCCCTGTTGCCCTCTGTCGCCTCTGCTGCTGCGGCCGACCTCGTTGGTCTTGAGCCGGTCGGTGCAGCGTCTGCCCCTAGCGGGAGACGTCGCTCTGGCAAGGGCAAGGGGGGCAAGGGCGCGGGTGGAGCTAGCGGGGGTGGTGGAGGTGGCGGTGGAGGCGGCGGAGGGAGTGGGGGTGGCGGTGGGAGTGGCGGCGGGGGTGGAGGTGGCGGTGGCAGCAGCGGAGCCGGAGGCGGCGGAGGCGGTGGCGGTGGGAGCGGAGGCAGCGGTGGTGGCGGAGGTGGAGGCGGCGGTGGTGGAGGAGGTGGAGCTGGTAGGGGTGGTGCTTCGCAGCGGAGCAGCTCCGGTGGTGGTCAGCGCTAGCAGCAGCAGCAGCAGCAGCAGCAGCAGCAGCAGCGTTATCGGGACATCCCCCCTCCTCAGCAGCTCCGTGAGTGGTACACGCAGCGTCAGCGTGGTGGGGGCTTCGGTCCGTGCACCTACGTCCTTCGCTCCGGCGACCGCGCTGGTGAGCAGTGTGGGGGTGCCCACCCCACCCAGCGCTGCTTTGGCCGCCTGACGGACGCTTGGCGTCAGCAGTTCCCGGAGGCTAGTGAGATCCCCCGCTGGGGAGAGCTGTCTAGGGCAGGCGTAGCTATCTATGATCTTGACTTTGATGCTATCCTTGCTGCCATGTATGCTGTGACTATTAGTGATGAGGGTGACTGTTACCGGTGTTTCCCGCCCGACCCGGGCATTGGTACTGCTGCTCTAGGTGCTGGTGAGGCTGCTGCTCTAGGTGCCAGTGCGTCTGCGCTCTCAGGTGCTGGTGAGTCTGCGCTCTCAGGTACCACGTCGGCTTCGGCCTCCCTCACCTTCACACTTGACTCAGGGGCTTCTCGCTCCTTCTTTCGAGACCGCACCACACTCACACCGCTTGGTCGGCCGGTTGCAGTCTCCCTGGCAGACCCCTCTGGGGGTCCTGTCCTCTCTCACTTCTCCACTGTCCTCCCGTGTCCGGCTGCCCCCTCTGGCACCTTGTCTGGTCTTTACCTCCCCTCGTTCTCTACAAACTTGGTGAGTGGTGCTGACCTACAGGATACGGGGCTTCACCAGTTTACTCCTGCGAGTCAGCGGGTGACCCACTGCTCGGACGCTCGCACAGGCCGACACCTGGCCAGGTTTACACGTAGGCCGGGGTCGAGCCTCTACACCCTGACCACTGGGTCTCCTCCTGTCCCTGCGTCTAGCCAGGTAGCTGCGTCGGGTCAGGTGTTTGCTGCAGCGTCCAGGTCTGGTCCTGAGTCTGCCCCCTGCTCGTGTCGCCTCCTGTCTCACGAGACTCTCCTGTGGCACCACCGTCTTGGTCACCCCTCCCTGCCTCGTCTCCGAGGCATGGCTTCTTGTGTCCTTGTCTCTGGTCTCCCCCGGTCCCTCCCTCCCCTTCCTCCAGGGCCTGGTCCTTCCTGTGTTCCCTGTGTCGAGGGGCGGCTCCGGGCTGCCCCTCACTCCTCTCAGTTTCCCCCGATAGAGGCCCCGCTGCAGACGCTTCACATGGACGTGTGGGGCCCGGCCCGCGTCCGTGGACAGGGTCACGAGCGCTACTTCCTGCTGGTGGTTGACGACTACTCGCGTTACACCTCAGTCTTCCCCTTGCGCAGCAAGGGTGATGTCACTGAGGTGTTGATCGACTGGATCCGCGCAGCTTGTCTCCAGCTCAGGAGGAGCTTCGGCTCGGACTTTCCTGTTCTGCGTCTGCACTCTGACCGAGGCGGAGAGTTCTCCTCTGGCCTTCTGCGAGCCTACTGCCGTGCGCGAGGCATCCGCCAGACCTTCACGCTTCCGGACTCTCCACAGCGAAATGGGATTGCTGAGCGCCGCATTGGCATGGTCATGGACGTCGCTCGTACGTCCATGATGCATGCGGCTGCCCCCCTTTTTCTGTGGCCGTTTGCGGTTCGGTACGCGGCGCATCAGATCAACCTTCACCCCAGGGTCTCCATGCCGGAGACCTCCCCAGCTCTATTGTGGACAGGGAAGGTAGGCAATGCGTCTGCGTTCCGTGTCTGGGGATCTCGGGCGTTTGTCCGCGACTTGTCTGCCGACAAGTTGTCCCCTCGTGCTGCTCCTTGTGTCTTCCTTGGCTTCCCCCCTGACGCACCAGGGTGGCAGTTCTACCACCCCTCCTCTCGTCGTGTTCTGTCCTCCCAGGACGTCACGTTTGACGAGTCGGTCCCTTACTACCGTCTCTTCCCCTACCGCACTCCTTCCCTTCCCCCGCCGCCGCACTTCCTTATGCCAGGTCCCCCCCAGGTAGACCCCGTCCCCCCTCAGGGTCCTGCCCCTTCAGGTGTGTCCCAGGTGGACGCAGTCGAGCCGGTCGAGGTTGCTGGTGACTCTGGTACTGCTGCGGGTGCTGAGCCTGGGGGTGCTGACTCTGGGGGTGCTGCACGAGTGGGTGCTGAGCCTGGGGGTGCTGACACTGAGGGAGCTACGACTGGGGGTGCTGAGCCTGGGGGTCCTGAGCTTGGGTGTGCTGGGTCTGGAGCTGCTGAGCCTGGGGGTACTGAGTCTTGAGCTGCTAAGCCCGCGGCCGCTG